TACTACCACCACTTCTACTACTACCATTACAAATTACACAAACTAATCAATTCCACTACTACTAAGCCAATTCAACATCTAATATATCAATCTAAACTATAAAATATACCAGTAACATTAATGATATTACTACTATTACTACAACTATATCTACTACAACTACTAATACTACCACTATTACTGCAGGTGTTACCGCTGCCACTACTAATACAACTACTAGAAAAGTATTATTCCAGTTGGCTTCTTCTATGCCAGGCATTCCTCTGGAGTGTGCATTACTACTAACTCTTATCTTGTTCTCATATTGCCTCAGTGCTAATCCAGCGCATGCACCGCCTGCTTCATTCTAGGTGCAAACACACACAACCCACCCAGCCACTTTTACACGCATTGGCATTTATCCCGACAGCAATTCGTGAAGTCCACACTAGCCTCCGTGAAATATGACTGACTGCTTGTGGCCGCCGCAGTAGCACTGGAAGCACACTAGTCTGCATTGAGTTGGCATGCATACTCTCCACCTGCCCACATGCCTTACATCATCGCCAACCATGTGAAGAAGCAAGCAAGGCATCTCACGACAAGTAAGGAGTGACTTACATGAAACCGCCCTGTAGCGCCTCGTTGGGCGACATGGTGTAATTGTTGCTCTCGGCGAATTAGGAGATTCAGGGGTGAAGAAGAAGAGACATGAACTGGTGGATGAGTTATAGTAGCAATAGTTGTATTCGGAGTAGTAGAAGTTGCAGTAGTAGTAGAAGTAGTAGTCGTAGTAGTAGTAGTAGTAGTATTAGTAGTAGTAGCAGTAGCAATAGTAGTAGTATTAGAGATAATATTAGTAGTATTATTAATGGCAGTATTAGTAGTAGTAGTTATAGTAAAAATTTGAGGGATGAGATGTACATTGTTTGGTATGGAGCAGTTCTTGGGATGTGTAGGTATTTGAGATGAAGTTACAGGTATCTACTAAAACTACGAGTTCTACCACTATTACTGCAAGCATAACCGCTGCCACTACTCATACAACTTCCAGAAAAGGATTATACCAATTTGCTTCTTCTATGCCAGGCATTCCTCTGGAGTATGGTTTACTATTAACTCTTGTCGTGTCCTCATTTTGCCTCTGTGTTAATCCAGCGCATTTACCGCCTGCTTCATTCTAGGTGCAAGCACACTCAACCCGCACAGCCACTTTTACAGCCACTGTCATTTAGTTCAGTACATTTTACGGATCATAGCCAATGCCTTTGAAACCCCTATTTTAAACGGTACATGCAATATGTTACTTTAAATAAAATAGTACTAATTTTTTCAGTAATAAATACACATAGCAGAATATTTTAATTGAAAATGCAGAACCGAAACTCAGACACATTCAGTTGTAGATGATATCGGTAAAACGCAATTGCAGTCATATTTATTAGCGGTATGTGTATTGAAGTCGTTCTTTTTTTCACCACAGAGCTGTTTTGTCTAGACAAGCGGTATTGTCCAAGCAAATATGCATTGAGTCTTTGTTGGAACGTTTCCCTGGTATCCGCCATTATTACGTCCTCGGGAAGCCCGTTCCGGGCACCGACGACTCGCTGTGAAAAACAGAATCTTCGAACATCCAGGCGGCATCAGGATCCTCTAAGTTTTAGAGAGTTCCCACGCAGGTTT